TCCAAAGAGAGAGAGAGAAAAAAAGTATAAGTTTTAATAATCTGAGAAATGGATTTGCAGAAAAATGTACCAGAGAAATTCCATGCCCAATCAAGATATTGAAAAGGTATTATATGGTACACAAAATCAAGATACCAAAATACTATTTCTAAAAAAGATTTTTTTATTTTTTTAAAACTATTTTTTTTTTATTATTATTATTATTATTATTATTATTATTTTGTCTTTTTGAGACAGGGTCTTCCTCTAGCTCCAGCTATCCTGGAACTTGCTATGTAGACCAGGCTGGCCTCAACCTCACAAAGATCGCCTGCCTCTGCCTCCCAAGTGCTGGGATTAAAGGCGTGTGCCACCACGCCCAGCTTATTATTATTTTTATGTGTATACATGTATTGCCTGCATGTAGGTAAGTGGACCCATGTCTTGCAATGCCCACGGAGGACAGAAGAGGCTGTCGGGTTCCCTGGAACTGGAGTTACAGACAGTTGTTAGCTGCCATGTGGGTGCTGGGATTTGAACCTGGGTCTTCTGCAAGAACAGCCAGTGCTCTTAACCGCTGAGCCATCTCTCCAGCCCCTTATTTTACTACTTTTTTGTTTTTCTTCATATTTTGAGACAGAATCACATGTAGTCAAGGATGGCCTTGAACTCTGATCCTTCTGCCTTCACCTCCCAAGCACTGGGACTGCAGGTGTGCATCATACAAGGCTTCATACTACTGTTACTATAGAGTTCGTTGTTTTTATGTGTATGAATATTCTGCCTACATATAAGTGCACCTGTGTTGTGCAATGCCTGTGGAGGTCAAAAGAAGGTGTCAGATCCCCTGGAACTGGAGTTACCAACAGTTGTTAGCTGACACGTGGGGGCTGGGAACGAACCCGGGTTCTCTGTAAGAGCAGCCAGTGCTCTTAACCACTGAGCCATCTTTCCAGTCTCTATACTGTTTTGAGTGAGAGGCCCTGCATTTACATTTTGCAGCGGGCTCTGCAAATTATGTAGCATTTCTTTTTTTTAAATTTTTTTAAAAAAAATTTTATGTGTATGAGTGTATTGCCTGCATGTATGTGAGTGCACCCGTGTGGTGCAATGCTGTGGAGGTCAGAAGAGGGCTTTGGATTCCCCTGGAACTGGAGTTAAGGACAGTTTGTAGCCACCATGTGGGTGCTGGGAATTGAGCCCAGGTCGTCTTTAAGAAAAGTCAGTGCTCTTTAACTGCTGAACCATCTCTCCAGCCCCAATAGCAACTTTTTAAAAAAATACTATTTTGGGGTTGGGGATTTAGCTCAGTGGTAGAGTGCTTGCGTAGCAAGCGTGAGGCCCTGGGTTCAGTCCTCAGCTCTGGGGAAAAAAAAGACAAATTATTTTGGACTGGAGAGATAGCTCAGTAGTTAAGAGTATTGGTTGCTCTTGCAGAGGACCCAGGTTTGAGTCCCAGCATCCACATGGCAGTTAACGATTGTCTGTAACTCCAGTTCCAGGGGAATCTGATGCCCTCTTCTGACCTCTGCAGGCATTGCACAACACAGGTGCATGTACATAGATGCAGGCAATACACTCATACACGTAAAACAAAAATAAATGCTTAAAAATATTATATTAATTTATTATTTTTATTTTCTAAGTGTTTTGTTTGCTTGGAAATGCATGACACACATGGAATGCCCACAGAGGCCAGAGAGGGTGTCAGATCACCTGGAATTGAAGCTATGGATGGTTATTAGTGCCATGTGGGTGCTGGAAAATGAATCTGGATCTTCTGCAAGAGCAGCCAGTGCTCTTAGCTGCTCAGCCAGCCCCATAGCTCTGTTTGTTGGAACTAGTACTTCTTATTTCTTTTTTTGTTTTTCGAGACAGCTGGCCTGGAACCTGCTATGTAGACAGGACAAGCCTGAAACTCACAGAAATCCACCTGCCTCTGTCTCCTGAGTGCCAAGATTAAAGCAGTGTATCACAGCTGTCATTTTTTACACATGGTCAAAGCTGGCCTTGAACTCAAGATCCTCCTACCTCAGCTTCCCAGTGTTGGGACCACCTCACCCAGCTTACAGTTGCTGTTTCTGCTTGCCATACTGACTTAATGTTAACTTCCACTTGGTCTGACCACTTCAGGGTAGCAATGCTGTCTTATTCCACATTGAAACCCCAAGGTCTATCACAGCGACTTGTACTTCCAATGTTCTGCCCAATTGGAATGCCAACACAGAGCCACCTTGGAGTCCCTCAGTCTTAGGCACATGGAGTACAGTCATGTTCCTTATCCTAGGAGACATCTGCAAGTGGAGAAGAAAGTAGACATGGGGACTTGGGAGACAAGCAGATCCCCAGAGTTCAGTGGCCAGTCAGTCTAGTCAACTGATGTCTAGGTTCAGTGGGAAGCACTACACACACACACACACACACACACACACACATACACATGAAAGCAAATGTATGTGTGCATGTAAGTCCAGACCTTCCCTTCTACTGTAGTAATTTTTTTTGCTTTTTAGACAGAGTCTGCCTATAGCCCCAGCTGACCTGGAACTCGCTATGTAGACCAGGTTGGCCTCGAACTCACGGAGATCCACCTGCCTCTGCCTCCCAAGTGCTGGGATTAAAGGCATGTGCCACCATGCCTGGCCCATAATTTTACTCTTTTTTTGAGATAGGGTCTCCCTGTAGCCCCAGCTGTCCTGGAACTCACTATGTAGACCAGGCTGGCCTCAAACTCACAGAGAGCCACCTGTCTCTGCCTTCCAAGTGCTGGGACTACAGGTGTGTGCCACCATACCCGGCCCATAATTTTACTTTTTAAAAAATATTTTTATTTTTATGGTCCGGGTGTGGTGGCACACGCCTTTAATCCTAGCACTTGGGAGGCAGAGGCAGGTGGATCTCTGTGAGTTCGAGGCCAGCCTGGTCTACATATCGAGTTCCAGGTCAGCTGGGGCTACAGAGAGACCCTGTCTCAAAAGATCAAAAAAAAATTTATTTTTATGTGTGTGAGTGTATTTCTTGCATGTGTATAAGTGCACCTGTATCATGTAATGCCCTTTGAGGGAAGGTGTTTCAGCCCCTGGAAATGGAGTTACAGAGGGTTTTTAGCCACCATGTAGGTGCTAGAAATCGAACCTGGGTCCTCCACAAGAGCAGTCAGTGCTCTTAATCGCTGAGCCATCTCTCCAGCTCCATAATTTTACTTTTTAATCCTTCAGCAATTTTTATTTTCAGTGTTGGGGACTGAACCTCAGGACCGCACATATGCTAGGCAATCACTCTACTACTGAGCTAGATCTCCAGCCCCCTTGCTTTTTTCCTTTGAGACAATGTCTCAAATGTAGCCCTGGCTGGACTGGAACTTGCTATGTAGATCAGGGTGACAGAGGATTTATCTTCCTCTGTCTCCCTAGTGCTGGGATTAAAGGTGTGAGCTACCACGGCCCCTCCAGCTTCACTTTTTAAAAAATTTATTATTTTTATTTTATGTGTATGCGTGTATTGCCTGCATGTAGGTAAGTGCACCCATGTCGTGCAATGCCCGAGGAGGACAGAAGAGGCTGTTGGATCCCCTGGAACTGGAGTTACAGACAGTTGTTAGTTGCCATGTGGGTGCTGAGATTCGAACCCAGGTCTTCTGCAAGAACAGCCAGTGTTCTTAACCGCTGAGCCATCTCTCCAGCTCCAGCTTCACTTTTTAAAAGAATCTATTTGGGGCCAGTCAGAGGGGTCAATAGGTAAGGTCACTTGCTGCCAAGCCTGATACCTCTAGGACCCACATAACTTAAAGACAGAACCAACTCCAGAAAGCTGTCCTCTGACTTCCACACATGCACAGTAGTATGTGGTCCCACACCCATAAATATTTTAAAATCTATTAGGGCTGGAGATGTGGCTTAGTTGGTACAGTGCTTGCCTAGCACGCACAAAGTCCTGAATTCTGTCTCGAGCACTGCAGGTGTGGTAGCATTGACCTGGGATCCCAGCACTTGGAAGGTGGAAGCAGGAGACCCAGAAATTCAAGGCTGGGCTAGGTAGATGGCTGGGCCAATACAGTGCATGCTACACAAGCTTGAGGACTTGAGATTTGATCCCCAGCATCCATGTAGAAAGGTGGTGTACCTGGAATCCTTGTGCCGGGGAGGCAGAGACAGGAAGAGCTTTGAAGCTTGCTGCCCAGGTAATCTTGCTAGATTGGTGAGCTACAGGTTCAGTGAGAGCCCCTGTCTCAAGAAATAAGGTGGTATAAAAAAATAGAAAAAAGAAAAAAAGAAATAAGGTGGTGAGCTGGGTATGGTGGTTCACACCTGTAATCCCAGCACTCAGGAGGCAGAGGCAGGAAGATCTCTGTGAGAGCAAGGCCAGCCTGGTTTACATAGCAAGTTCCAGGCCAGCTGGGGCTACAGGAGATCTTGTCTCAGACAAAGAAAAGGGGCTGGAGAGATGGCTCAGTGGTTAAGCGCGCTGACTGCTCTTGCAGAGGACCCAGGTTCAATTCCCAGCACCCACATGATGGCTATGAACCATCCTTAACTCCAGTTCCAGGGGAATCCTCAGCCCTCTTCTGACCTCCGTGGTATTGCATGACATGGGTGCACTCACATACATGCAGGCAATACATTCATACACATAAAATAAAAACAACAAATAAAATAGTTTTTTAAAAAAGGCAGAGAGCTGGTGAGATGACTCAGTCAGAGAGTAGAGGTGTTTGCTGCACAAGCCCGGCTATCTGAGTTTAATCCCTAGAACCCATGTAAAGGTAGGAGAGAGGAGAGAACTGACTCCACAGAACTATCCTCTGACCTCCACATGTACACACACACAGACACACACAGACACACACAGACACACACACATACAGTTCAAGGTCATCCTTGGCTGTAGAGATGTAACTTTGTCTTGCAAAGAGAAGTTAACCAAATAATAAACACATAAAACTCAGCCCAGGTCAAGGGATAGAGGGGGGATGGGCAAGCTGGTGACACACTCAAGAGGGAACAATAAGTGACACAGCCCACTGGTGGGTCGGAATCTTCACTTTATTACTAAGTCACCAGAAGTCACCACCTTCACTTGGTTCACCACAGATGGATGGATGTCATAGAGGAGGATGCCATGGGGCCACTGGATCCACTTTGGAGAGGCTTAACCAGGTGGGGGTTCTAGAGCAGGGCCCAGGATGGGGGCTGCCCTTCACCGCACACACACGCACACACACATTCACAGATATATTTGTGGAGCCTTATATTATACATCTTATATATAGAAAATATATATATTTATACTATACAGGCAGTAACGCTGCGGGAGGGCCGTGGCACCCAGACAAGAGCTGTGGGCACCAGGGGATGGGGTATCAGGTCAGGGGTAGCACTGGGAGATGGCTAGCCCAGTCCATCTTCCATGAACTCTGGGAGGGCGACTCCTGCTCACACTTTTTAGCAAAACAAAGGGGTCTTGAGTCAATGTTAGGGGTGCCCCAGGGGTAACAAGTGGGAGCTCTTGGTTAGATGGGAAGAAGCCTGGGACCCTAAGAAATCTTTGAAGATTAAGAATCACCAGGGAAGGAGGGAGCAGGGACTGGTGCAGGTCCCCCTGAGAATAAGCCCCTCGACGGCTACCCCCTGGGTGGACCAGAAGCCCCGCCCAGGCAAGATGGCCTATGACTGTGATGGATGCAGCCTCTCAGAAGGCAGAAGACTGGGCTCCTAACCTCTCACTTGGCCTTGGGCCAGATCTGACTCTCTCTCAGGGGGCCTTGCAGCTCTAAATTTGTGCTGAACCCATTTCCCAGGCCTTCTCTTTTGCTTGATGGGGAAGACAGGGGCCCCAATTCCACTGGGCCCAGCTGCAGGGGACCCTCTCCAGGGAGGATGTGGAGCAAAGTAGAGAGGGGAGGGAAATGAGGGTACTGTTGACCTAGGGGCTCGGTCTTTCCGGGGCTATGTTCTGTCTACAGAAAAAGCCCCTGCAATCCTCCTAACCACTGAGTTGGAAGCCTGGGTCTCACCCAAATCCTATCCTCAGGCTTCTTGACCACCCACCACCGTTTATCATTTCCATCATGGCAGCAAGCATGCATCTGGGAAGAGGGGTGGAAGATGCTTGCTGAGGTCCCAGCAGCCCAGTTTCTGGACTTGTAAAGGTCACAGCCTGGGTACCAGGAAGAGTCTGTGATAGAATCCCAGGGTTAGGCATCCTGTCCTCTGCCTGACATCATCAGCTGCTGTTTGGTATCCAGGGAGAAACATAGGCAGTGCCTGGGGTCTCCCCATCGGCCAGGAAGGCGCTGAGTGGGGGAGTAGAAAGGGGCAAGACTTCTCACAGACCCGTGTTGGTACCAGAAACTCTCCTGCAGCCAGTCTCCCCCTGGTCTGGTACCAGCAGGTCACCCATCCCCAAGCTGTCCCCACTTGAGCCACCTGGTGTGTGTGTGGGAGGGGCGTGGGGGAGACTGTATACAGAGCTCTTTCCCAGGTATGGAAAATGGAAGTTAGCAACAGCCAGCTGTCACTCAGCCACCTAGGTTCCCTCCCACCACTCTGGCCCCTTTGGGAACTTGGAGACCCCAGTTCAGATCCAAGCTCCACTGCTAACTCACTGTGCTCATAGAGCCTCAGTTTCCCCTTTTGTCCTTTCTACTTCTGTGCCTCTCAAGTTCTTGTTTCCTCCCACAACTCCTGTCCCTTAGGCCTGTCTTTGTCCTGAGGAGATCTTGTCTCAGGCCCACACTCATGCGAGGTTTCCTACTGTAATGAACTCTCTGCCTCAATGGGAGCCACAGGTTCACTCCCTGATGTTAGAAAAGTAAGCAGAGTTGTACCTGGCAGGGTCCTGTGCAGGGTATGGGGCGATGGTGGTGGGGACACCCACTGCAGAAGCTGACCTCAGTTGACTGCCCTACTTCCCAAGGGACTAGCTGGTGGTGACTCGGCACAGACCTGAGGATGGCACAGACACGCCTCTCTCCAGGTTCCTTATACCTCAGGGCAGAATGTGTTTTGTGCCAGAATGCCTCCCTCCTACCCCTTGGGGCCCCACCACCCTCCTTGTGTCTTTGAGGTGATTTGCTACTGTTTCTCCTGTGGCTGAGGTCTCCTCGCGCCCACTCTGCAGTGTCTTACCCATGCATCATCTGGGCAGTGTGACCTGTGGCACCCAAGCTGACCCTGTAATTGAAAATCTCTGACTTGGCCTTCCATTCCTCCAGTCCTAAACCCTGACTGATCCAAACAAGAGGAGAAAGGACAGTGTCCCAGGTGGCCACAAGGCTGGCTCTACCTGCTGGGTGATGGGGGCCAAGAAACTCAGCCAGGAAGGCTAGCTCTGCCACTTACTCACTGAGACCTTGGGCCAGTACCCACCACTACCTGGCCTTGGACAAGGCCCAGAGATGGAGACAGCTTCTTTTGGGAGGCTGCAAAAGGGATGCTGGCACATCCTAAAAGAGCTCCCTGTGGGACAAGCTGAGCACAGAGAAATGCAGGGGAACACAGGTAGGTGGGGGGGGCCCTCTGGGAGAAGATCAAGGCTGAAGAAGGGACCTGCACAGAGGGGAGTGGCTGGGGCAGAAGAGGCCCCGGGCTTGCAGCAGATCAGGGTGTCTCACTAGGCTGAGGTCTCAAGCCGAATGAGAGTACTAACACCAAACGGCAGAGTCCAGGTGTGGGGACAGGAGACAGTGAGAGGACCAGAAGAGCAGGCAAGTGCTCTGCATCGGACCACCTTGTTGTGCCCTCATTGCCAGCTGCCTGAATGACTCTGGACAAAGGATCTTGACCTCCCAGGCCTGTTTCCTCAACCAGAAATGGAGACAGCCTTGTCAAACCCAGGACTGTTGTGTCTCAAGGCCTCTAGGGGTGACAGACCACGTCCTGTGGTTGTCCACACTCACCCTGTGGCTGAGCCCCATGCAGCCAGACTTCCCAGATCCATGGGTCCCACCTTTCCTGCCTCCGGTACAGGGCCTCCAACAGCCCATCTTTCTCCCTCTGTCTCACTTCCCAGCTGAGCAAGGCCTGGTGCACAATGAATGCTCAAGGACACGATCAACAGATTCAACCCCTGGACCTCATCCTCCAGACCCCTGCTGGGTACACACTTCAAACACACTTGCACACACATGTGGACACTCCCCACCTGGCTGCCCCACTCCTTGCCCCAGCTGCACTGAGCCTCAGTGGAATCACTCAGAGGCTAAACAGGTTCTGGGCAGGGCCATCTGGGAGGGAGCAGGGTGCTGAGGAGGGGAGCTAGGGTGGAGGGGCAGGGGCAGGGTAGGCGGTCACTGTCACCACCATCAAGGGGGCTCAGTAGCCCTGTGACTGGTAGCCCTGGGGCTCAGTGTCGAAGGCGTTGGCTGGCTGCTGGTAGGTGCCACCCATGCCTGCGGGGTCTGGCCCAGTGCTGGTGGGCTCCACGTAGGGTGCGTAAGGCATGCTGGAGTCCTGGCTGGGATCCATGTAGTCCTGGGAGAAGAGGGCTGAGTCGGCGCCAATCTGGTACCGCTGGAAGGCCAGCACAGCCTGGCCCGCCTGAGATGGGGGCAGGCAGGGACAAGGACAGGTTGGAGGGATGGTTAGGGGAGAGACAGACAAAAGCACTGGATTAGTGGAGGTTAGTTGACAGGATGCTGAGGGTTACAGATGCTCAAAGTACCAAGCCTGACTGAGGGGAAGGACTATCCCCAAGGCCACCCCTCCTGAGGCCCAGGACCATATTATCCAGCCAGAAAGAACCTTATTAGTCACCTGCCCTGTGGATCCCACTGTGGAAGGTTAAGATAACCCAAAGGTCAACATCTCCTTCCCAAACTGTGTTCTCAGGGGTGTAGTGTGAAATGGGAGAAAAGGCTGTTCAGGACAGAGAACTTGGTATCTCCTAAAAGCTATACTGTTTCTCTTGCAGCTAGGCATAGTCATGTGATTAACTTTTGGCCAGTGAGGTACAGTCATGTTCTTTAGCCCTCTCTCTGGTCTGATGCCTCCGATGCAGATGTGATGGCTGGAGCACTAGTCACTAAAATGGATAGCATGGAGGATGGATAGATATGGGGATGGAAAACGTCTGGGTCACTGAGAACACCTGGAGTTACCTTGCCGGCCCTGCATGATCTCTCCAGACTTGGAATTTGTTTAAATCACTGTGATTTGGAATTGACTCACTTGTTGCTAAACCTAAATTCTACCTGAAACACTTGGTTAAACAAGTTTGGGAAGCCATGCTAAGCAGTGAAATGAAGTTCAGAACCATAGGGTTTGTCAGACCCTTGACTGTTCCATACATGCCGGGTCAAGAATGGGAAAGGTTTGACCTCAGCCACATGCAGACAGAGGGCAATGATGCTGACCACACAGAGCTAAGGAACAAATCAAACTGGCTCTGCAGTTCATAGGGAAAGCCTTCCCCAGAATTTTCTGGCCCGGGGTAAGCTGTCTATGCTCCTCTTTCAAGGTTGGGAAGATGGAGGCTGAGAGAAGGGGGACCCATGGCAGAAAGTGCCAGAACTCAGCCCCAAACATGGAGTCCTTGAACTGGGATGGGCTGAGGAGTGGTCAAGGCCCTCTAGGGACAGGACCTTCTGTGTTTGCAGCTGGTAGGCAGGAAGCAAATAGGATGACTCCTTAGAGGTACAGAGGCCAGGCTCTCCCCACACTTCCTGGCTCCACTGTCTAGCCTGTGTGCCTGCACAGAGGCAAGGGGCTAGAACAAATGAACTTTGTAGCCCTTTCCAGGGAGAGGCCTCCAGCCACAGGCAAGGGAGACTGTGTCTGTAGCCAGTCTCCTGCCCCTGACCCAAAGCCTCCGGTGGCCAGCCAGTATAGGGATAGGGGGCCACAGAAGAAAAGAGAAGGCCTGGCCCAGGTGGCTACAAGAGGGAAGGCTAAAAAGCCTGTTCAGAGCTCTGGGTCCTGCGACCCACGTGGCATCTCAGTGGGCAGCAGGTGGGCAGCACCTGCATGCCTCCAGTGCTACAGACCACTCTGCATTCAGCCACAGACTCCTCAACCCCTGCAGAGAACCAAGTTACAGGTAGGTGCTGCCCAGGCTCTGAGAGGGCCCAAGGGAGGCAGTGAGGAGCTGGAAGTCGAAACCCCTTGGCAGAACAGGTATTTACCATTTGGGACTCCCACCCTAGGGAGAGCTTATAGAGGGGCACCTGACTCAAGAGAATGAATGAATGAATGAATGAATGATGAATAATGAACACCAGAGCTGACATTTATTGAGCATCCCTGTGCCCAGCTGTGTGGTGGCCCTTGCTCAGCTGCCTTGAGGAGTTAGTCCAGTATCACAGTCAGTTCCAGGAAATGGACCAAGACTCAAAGGTGCAGGGATCTGTTCTCAGTCCCACAACATAGGAGAGGTGAGCCAGGCCGAAGGTTCTCCAACATTCCAGGCCAGGTCTCCATAGGCAGCCAGACTAGGGGGACAGTAAGCTGGCCCTTTATGCCACAGCTGCCATAGGCACGGACAGGTTATCATGCTGTCCACAGCTCAGCCCCTTGCAGAGAGGCACTTCGGACTCTCTACCATCCTACTCCTCTTTAGGGAAGTTTGAGTATCTGTCTTTTTCTCCCCAACCTGTGGGCTCCTGGGGTCAGGGACCCATCTAATCCATCACAGGCACAAAACATCTGCTCAATAAACGTTTACTGAAGGAATGTATACAAGGAAAAAAAATGAAAGACGCAGAACAAGTGAGCAGGTGGTGAGCCTTAACCAGTGCCTCCAGCCAGCCTCCTCTTGCCCTTCCCACACATCTCCAGTCCTGGGCCATGCCTGTGACTGGGCCCAGATGGGGTGCAGGTTCCCTGCCCTGCAGGCTGGGGCTATGGCTGTGCTGGAGTGGGGAACAGCGTGCTGTACTCTTCCTGGAAGGTAAGATCCTTGAATCTGCGCATGGCCAGGGCTGCGGTCAGGCTCTGCCAAAGAGAGCAGGGGTAAGGCTACTGCGCAGGTGGAAGGGCAGACGTGCCTCAGGGAGGCTAGCTGAGGCCAGCAGCACTAGTCCACCAGTCCCAAAGGTGTTTCCCTTCAGACCCTGCAAATTCCTGGTTTAATCATTATGCTTCCTGTCAGTCCTGCCCACCTCACGGCTGGGGTTTCCAGACTGCTTCTGAATAACCAGAGGCTGAGGTGGGAGGTGTCTCATTCCCTGGGTACCTACTTTCAGAATGAAATCCCGTGGGGTCACCTTGACTTTCCCCACCCAGTCCTGAAGACACAAAGGGCTAGAAAGACCATGGCAATCCTCTGGGGCCTGAACTGCAGGTCACCCTTCCAAACTCTAGCTCCCAATGTTAGAGAAGGAGCCTGGGTATCCCAGAAGATGATGCATATTGGGCCCCTCAAAAAGAAGAATGGGTTGCCCCAGGAAGAGTAGGGACACAGGGCAGAGGGGCTGCCAGTATATGCAGCCCCAAAGGTTTCCTTGAGCAGTGGGGAGAAGCCTCAGAATAGGGAGTATCTGAGATCCCATTTTTCTCTACAGGAGGGTTATTAAGAAAGGAGGAATAGGGGCTGGAGAGATAGCTCAGCAGTTAAGAACACTGGTTGTTCCTGCAGAAGACCCAGGTTCAAATCCCAACACCCACATGGCAGCTAACAACTGTCCATAACTCCAGTCCCAG